ACAATCATTTTAATACGTAATTAAATGCATGTTTTAAATACAAGCCGTGTAAGTACCCCAATTTGACTTGATATCACCCTCTTGCAGTCCCCGTTAGAGGAAGAAGCAACACAAGCAGCCAATCAGTTCATATGTTCAGCATAAGCAGCGCTGATAGGAAAAGAGAGCGGAGTGACAGAGAGATGAGCTCATTACTGTGCTGCTTCTCCTTTCACTGTTCAGTTGCAGCCTGGAATGGGTCCAGAGTAAGGATATCTAGTGGCAGAAAAAAGTACTGCAGAGAAAAACCTCGGTATTGATGGTGAATATTGCAACAAACGCTACTTTGACATGGTGCAGTAAAATGCATGTATCTATTAAGCAGTAATTTTCTAACAATAGTATGTTAAATCAAAGGAAAACTGCATTGACAGCAACATGCAGGCTGACCTTTGTTGACCTTCAGAAAATGCTAGCTGCCTGTTTCTGATTTCGGGTAATCTGAATTTGACTAGGAATAAATATGCAACCAATAAAATTGGAACTCTTGACAAGCAGATATGATTCTGGTCAGCAAGTTTATGTAAGGTAGCCAGTGAAACTGCATGACAGCCAGGTAATAAGCATTTTCAAAAGCATAGGTGTTCAGCTGAACCCATAGCTCTCTAAGTGCAGGTCTGCACTGACGTGTCCTACATTTAGGTAATTGGGAGTGCCTATTAACACCTAACTGGTTTACACTTTTTCAACAGACAAGTCCACTTTGGTTAGGACATAAAACTAGAAAAGCTACAATTTCTGGGGAAATTGTGTGAAGTGTTCTTGCCTCCACCAGTAGTCTAGGGCTTGAAAATGAGGGAGTGATGGCAGTTTAGAAATCATGTCCTGATTTTTCAGCTCACACTCTAGCTTTTGTCAGCTCCCACTCTAGTTTTGAACATTCCGCCATTTATTCCTATGGGACCAATTTCACCACAAAAACGCCGATATTTCGTGAACCATTCGGCGAAACGTTCCACAAAGTAATAGCACACCAATCGGGAACAATCCGCACGTTTCGGTATATTACGGTCTATGTAGTGTAAAAACTGTGGGAGGAGTTAGGGTGGTAAATTTGGCTATAATAATAAGAATATATATGTGAGATAACAGTAAGTGCCATGCAAGAACACTTAATGATTGTCCTAGACAGACGATTCTGACCACAGTCTGTATATGTGTTAGCTCACACTGTGGATGAGCCAAAACAGTCAGGGGACAGGAGTGATATTTCCAGGAAATAAATCAGAGCAAAGAGCATGTCTGCTGGACAGAGAGGTTTGAACGAGACATATTATATGCAACAATGTGAGAGTCAGCTAGAGAGTAACAGTGATTGCAGGGAGGGCACCATGACTGCCTACATTAAAGTGGGACTTTATCCATAACAACCTGATAAAATATGATGTTCTTCATTATCTTCCATTCCACTTTAAACAATTATGATACCAAAATTAGTGTGTGCTGTAAATTGCCTCCAGCATTGCTCCTGTTTCTTCTCAATGGAGGCTGCCATTTTTCCTAAAGCCCTGAGCAGCAGTAAATCTTTAGGCTGTCAGCAGATTGGCCTCTACATTTTTGGCACAGTGCTGAAAAATAGAGAGTAACTAAGCATGTGCAAAGCAGAGCGGGTTGAGACAGTGTATTGCTGGATTTTAAATAGTATAGGCACTTATTTTTAACCTTTTACATAGCTATACCTGCAAAATGGCCCAGCATGAAGTGATCTAGCAGGACTTATACAGGCCATAGACGGGTCGTTTATCGACCGAATTTTCGTCCGCACAAAAAAATCGGCCGATATTCACGCCATTAGTGGGGCAATGCTGTCGGACGTTTTTCGTGGATCTTCTCATTTCTTTTTATCGGTCATGCTGGAAAATCCACGAAAACCGGCCGTTTTTCGTAGACATTGGTGGCAGCATTGGCAACGACCGATTTTTTGTTTATCTGCCGAAATGGCCTGCATTATTTTCTGACTAAAGTTCCACTTTAAAAACAAGGGGGGGCGGGGGAGAGGGGGGGTGTTGAGGAAGGAGTGAGCAGTTCAGACATATTCCAAATATTCACCAGCATAGCTGATCCATACAAGGTCTGAGTATTACTTGCTGTGGATAATATTAAGGGTTGGGTGATACACATACAGGGATGAGTGACTGATCCAGAACTAGGAGCAGACACTGGCCAGAGGGGGCAATGTAATTTCTAGGGTGGGCACCCTGAGAAGCAGACCTTCAACACCAGTGGTAAGGTCCATTTACTCAAGTTACACTCCCTCCCCATTGCATAAAATTATCTGTGGAGGGAAAAAGAACTATTATACGTCTCCTTCTCTGACTTCTCCCCGCAGTGCCTAGGCAAGAACAAAATCATCTGCTTCCGGCCAGACCTTATTCTAGGCTCACACCTATGTATTTTCCAATGTGTTTTGCAGAAACGCACAGCAATCCATTTAATATGATTTCCTATGGGACAGGGTCACGTCTCTACATTTTCATCTGGTGCGTTATTTTTTGGAAAGGGACAGAAACTTTTCTAAATCGCAAAACATTGCGTTTTTGGTTCAATAGGCTTCAATTGAGATGCTGCACAAATGCATGCAGTGTATTTTTGATGCGTTTTAATCTGCCCAGCAACAAGTTGGAGAAAAAATAAAAAAACGCAAAACGCACAGAAAACACGTGCAAAAATGCAAATTGCACTGCAGAAATGGATCAAATGCAAACTGCATAGGTGTGAACATAGCCTTAGAGAAGATGATCCTGCACTGTGTGCTGCAGCATACCTTTGTGACATTTCTGCTACTCAGCATTCCCGGGATCCTGTTGGTAGGATGATGATAACATCCCCTGCAGTATGGAAGATGGAGAAAGAGAAGTATGTTGTCTAATCATTTTTCCTGCCATAGGTACTTCTGTGCAGCATTTTAGGGATGGGTTGAGTGGGCACCTTGAATAAGCAGACCTTCCCACTGAGGTAGAAGACTTGCTTAAGGCCCCTTGTACTGATGTTTGAGCATCGGCATTTCTGGATGGAATTTTAGGCATTTGTTTTGCATTCATTCGCGCACACAATACATTCCTAGGCAAAGATTCATTAGTATTTACAGTATGCCCATGTGCACGTATTTGCGCATACCGGTGCAAATTACTGACCAGGAACACAATTTTTTCTATTCTTTTTTTTTTATACACAGTGCTCGTTTATGCGCCTTTCAGTACAATCACATTGTAAACAATGGGCTGCATTTTAGATCAGTAAAAAAAAAAAAAACTAAAAACACTGTACTGATCAAGCTGCATGTACAAGAGGCCTTACAGAGAAATCGGTCACTTTGTCTATGTAAGCCAGAGTAACAGGATTTCTCAGCAATACACTCCCTGATCACGGACACCTTCCATGTGCTCCATTTGTCTGTCTGATTCCCGAGTCCCATCCCTGTGTAAGCTCTATGGCAGTACATGTTAGATTCCACACAGGCTTGATGGCCTTCTCCCTCTTGCACATGTTCAGGCCAGGTGGTTGGCCATTCAGGTGAGAAGCACTGCATCCTGGAAGGAAGGAATCACATGCTCCCCCATAACTTGGTATTTCCAAAGGTTCCAACAGACAGACTTGGCAGTGGTGGAGTGCAGTGCAGGACAGTATCAGTAAGTCATTCAGTGGCACGTGAAGAGAACCTGTCACTTCGTACTCCACATGGCTCAATGCCCAGAGGCCGCTGACAGCATGCCATTGCCTGTTGTAGGACACTGTACTAAAGTGGAATTCCAGTCACATTCTAACTAAGCCTAAATCTATTTCCATCCCTATTCTATTCACCCTGTAAAAGAAAAGAAAAATCTATACTTATCTATTCTGAAGCCTCTGGTCCGGTCAAATGATCAGGTCACAGCGCTGGGTTCAGTGTAGAGGAGGGACAGCCAACAACAGATGCCCCATACTAAACCATCATTACCCAGCCATTGTCGGCTGTCCCGCCTCTTCACTGAACCCAGCGACGGGAGCCGATCATGTGACCGGAGCGGCTTCAGAATAGGTAAGTATAGGCATCTTTCCTTTTCACAGGGTAGATAAGATAGGCTAAGAAGGGGGTGCGAGAAGGTGTAGGCTTAGTTAGAATTTGACTGGAATTCCACTTTAAAGCCCAACTCTGGGCAGAATGTGACACCCCCCCCTCCACACTCCTATCTAATGCAAACCATAGACGGGCCATTTATCGGCTGAATTTTCGGTCGATAAACGAAAATTCTGTCGGCCCCGTTGCTCCCACCCATGCCCGCGAAAAATGGCCGTTTTTCGTGGATTTTCCAGCATGACTGATAAAAATAAATGAGGAGATCCGCGAAAAACGGCCAACAGGCTGGCCCCACTAACGGCGTGATTATCGGCCAATTGTTTGTGCGGACGAAATTCGTCCAATAATCAACCCATCTATGGCCTGCATAACCCATGCTGCATGTTATTTTTGTATACATTGTGAAGGTCTGCTGTCCAATTCCCTTGCAGATGCTGCTTCTGAGTGCAGGGGAATACTCATTTTGTGCTGCAGTTGTGCCCACACTGGCTGGTCTCCGACAGTCCCCCCCACACTGTTGTCATTCCTCTTTTGAATCTTAAGGCTGGCTATACATTATACAATTTTCTTGTACTATGTTCCTTTAGATCAGCCTCTCTCAACCAGGGTGCCCAGGCACCCTGGGGTGCCTTGAGGTTTCTTCAGGGGTGCCTTGGAAAAATGTCTACAAATTGCATAAAAACTTGTATACAAGCCAGGGGGTGGACAGGCCTGCCTTTTAGTTACACAAATTCACCGGTTTTCATTGTGTACCATTACGACCCTCTAGCCGCCAGCATCCTGACAACCAATCACATCGTCAGTTGATAAGGAGGATGTCAGCTGCCTGCACAGCATCCTAGTTTGACCCTCCCCCACCCCTCTCCACCAGTGCTGGGGTCACATTAGTTCAGTGATGGAGAAATACTGATAAAGAGGAGAAACACTGGAATACTACTCAGTACCAGGGTGCAAAAGTGTATTTGCTTTGGAAGAATAAATCACCTCTAATGTTGGGTGCCCTACAGTACATGTGTGGATGTTGCTGCATTATATAAAACTATTAGAATAGTTTTTTTCACATTTTAGAATGGGGTGCCTCGGGACTGTCCATAATTCTAGAGGGTGCCTCGGGACTGTCCATAATTTTAGAGGGAGCCTCGGGACTGTCCATAATTTTAGAGGGAGCCTCGGGACTGTCCATAATTTTAGAGGGAGCCTCGGGACTGTCCATAATTTTAGAGGGAGCCTCGGGACTGTCCATAATTTTAGAGGGAGCCTCGGGACTGTCCATAATTTTAGAGGGAGCCTCGGGACTGTCCATAATTCTAGAGGGTGCCTCGGGACTGTCCATAATTCTAGAGGGTGCCTCGGACTGTCCATAATTCTAGAGGGTGCCTCGGGACTGTCCATAATTCTAGAGGGTGCCTCGGGACTGTCCATAATTCTAGAGGGTGCCTCGGGACTGTCCATAATTTTAGAGGGTGCCTCGGGACTGTCCATAATTTTAGAGGGTGCCTCGGGACTGTCCATAATTCTAGAGGGTGCCTCGGGACTGTCCATAATTCTAGAGGGTGCCTCGGGACTGTCCATAATTCTAGAGGGTGCCTCGGGACTGTCCATAATTCTAGAGGGTGCCTCGGGACTGTCCATAATTTTAGAGGGTGCCTCGGGACTGTCCATAATTTTAGAGGGTGCCTCGGGACTGTCCATAATTTTAGAGGGTGCCTCGGGACTGTCCATAATTTTAGAGGGTGCCTCGGGACTGTCCATAATTTTAGAGGGTGCCTCGGGACTGTCCATAATTTTAGAGGGTGCCTCGGGACTGTCCATAATTTTAGAGGGTGCCTCGGGACTGTCCATAATTTTAGAGGGTGCCTCGGGACTGTCCATAATTTTAGAGGGTGCCTCGGGACTGTCCATAATTTTAGAGGGTGCCTCGGGACTGTCCATAATTTTAGAGGGTGCCTCGGGACTGTCCATAATTTTAGAGGGTGCCTCGGGACTGTCCATAATTTTAGAGGGTGCCTCGGGACTGTCCATAATTTTAGAGGGTGCCTCGGGACTGTCCATAATTTTAGAGGGTGCCTCGGGACTGTCCATAATTTTAGAGGGTGCCTCGGGACTGTCCATAATTTTAGAGGGTGCCTCGGGACTGTCCAGATCTTTAGAGGGTGCCTTGACTGAAAAAAGGTTGAGAAACATTGCTTTAGATTACCAAAACCATATGAGGTCAAACCTAAACACTTTCAATTTGGATGCAATCAGACAGGCCCCTGCACTAAACAGTTGAAGGTGAAGCTAAAGGAAATTGAATAATGTATGGGCAGCTTAAGAGGACCCCACCTCTGGACAACCAATAGGAAAAGTCCGTGTCAAGCAAACAGTGTTGTGGACACCTGAAGAAGGACCCGGCCAATGTGAACAGAAGAGGAGAATCTACTCAGGGTTGCAGCATCATGTGATTGCAGCTTTAGGAAGTAAAAAGAGGTTAATTTTACACTCTAGCTATCAGTTAGAAGAGTATGGGGGTGGGGGGGGGGGGGGGGTCATGTTTTCACAGAGTTGGGCTTTAATGCAGGACAGACCCTTCAATTAAAAACAGGCCAGCAGGAAGGATTTTTACTGCAGGAGACATGCTATTGGGTCTATTTAGAATAAAATTCCCTGTGCGAATTTTGCAGCATTCGCACAAACATCAGAAATAATACCCATAATCTTTATAATAGACGTGAAAAGTCAGTTTCTATTTATTGCCTTTTTACAAGGAGAATGTAACATTCCCTCATATTTGATACTAAAAGAAAATAAAAGCCTTAAAACACCGATGACCAGAAGGGATGAAGAACATTAGACCAGAACAGAAAATAGCCTAAGGGCTCATGTACACTGCAGCTGATAAACTGACGTTCAGGAGCTGTTCTGCGTTTTTTTTCAGCAGCCCCTGAACTCTCCCTAATGTTTTCCTATGTGTCCATGTACACATCGTCGTTTACAGTCCTTTACAGGCAGTTGAGTTTACAGTCGTTTTTTTGACGCACCACACTTGCGTTCAGGAGTAGATTTTACCAGCGGTTCAAAAGTGTGTAAACGCGGTTATCCGCGTTCGTAAGCGTTTGCATTTAGAAGCGTTTTTAACTGTTCCATATCCAGATGCCGTCCAGAGCCTTTTTTCATCATCAGAAATGCATGCAAAGCGTTTTCCATGTATTCAGATGGACCCGGTACACAAGCGCAGTCAGTTCCAGGTTTCGCGTGAAGGGAAAAATACTAGAACGTGTCGCATCATGCTCATGATGGGATCCATAGTGAATACAACCAGAAAAGACAACACATACTGCTCTCTCTGCTTCTGCTCTCTCTATTTCTCTCAAAATGTCTGAAATAGTTAATTTTTCACTATTTTTCAGTGCATTCTGGGCATTTGGTAAGGTCCCCTGAGGTTATCTTTTAAAAACGCTTCTAAGCGCAAACGCTCATAAACGTGGTATGCAAACGCGGCTAAACTGACGTTTTTTTTTAATCTACGTTTTCCAACAGTCAGTTTCCATCATTCAGAAGAGTTTTCCAAACGTCCCGTGTACATGAGCCCTAACACTAGGAACACTGGACTAGAAGAGGAAATAATGAGGGAGACCTCTGCCCTGTGGACCAGTTATATCCAGAGTCCATGCAATGTTGCAGAGACTGATCTCCATTGTTTTCCTTTGGTGATCTGCTGCTTATCAGAGGGTTTCTGTGCAGTAAACATGTCAAAACAACAGGGTTCCATCTCTGCAACATTGTATCCAATTTGTATAGAAGTTCACTGTCTGCAGAAACTATTATTATTATACAGGATTTATATAGCGCCAACAGTTTGCTCAGCGCTTTACAATATAACGGGAGACAATACAGCAACAATGCAGTTCAATACAAGAGGGTTAGGAGGGCCCTGATCCTAGTTGATTCGGCTCCATGAGATTTTCAGCATTTTTGCATTAGCGTTTACCACGGTTTTTTTTTTTCGCGTTGTTCCGCATTTGCATTTTTGCTCAAAAAACGCCGGTTTTTACTGCGCTTTACCCTGTTTTGCAGTGTTTTTTTTCAGCGTTAGAGTGTTTTTACAGCTAAAAAAACTCCTCTAGAAACTCACTAGTCCTGGGTTATTTTTACAGCCAAAAAACGCTGATTACAGTCTGTGTGTGTATGGACACATAGGATAACATGCTGGGGGGTTTACTGGCTGTAGGAAAAAAACGACAAAAGCCAAAAAAACAGCCGCTTGTAACAACGTACCGTGTGCATGAGGACTTACACTGTGCTGATGAGTAAAGGGATCTCCATATGCTCAGCACAGTGTCTAAATGGCTAGCGCTTCCATCTGGCAGTATTAGGGTCATCGGTTAGAATCCCAGCCATAGCACCACCTGCCTGGAGTTTGCATGATCTCCCTGTGCCTGTGTGGGTTTCCTCCCACACTCCAAAGACATACCAGTAGGTCAATTATCTCCTGTCTAAATTGTCCCTATTATGTGTATGTATGAATGTGAGTTAGGGACCTTAGATTGTACACCCCTTGAGGGTTAGGGACTGATGTGAATGTACAATATATATGTAAAGTGCTGCGTAAATTGATGGCGCTATATAAATACCTCTAATAATGTACACTGTGCAGAGGTCTCTCTCATTTTATTTCCTCTTCAGGTTACTAGTCTATAGTGCAGGGGTCTCTCAACTTTCCAAACAAAGGGCCAAGTTTACTGTCCTTCAGACTTTAGGGGATCGGACTGGTTCAGGAGTAGAAAATGCCCCATCGCTGGTGTCACTAAGAGGAATTGGGCCCCATCGCTGGTGTCATTGGGAGGAATTGGGCCCCATCGCTGGTGTCACTGGGAGGAATTGGGCCCCATCGCTGGCGTCACTGGGAGGAATTGAGCCCCATCGCTGGTGTCACTGGGAGGAATTGAGCCCCATCGCTGGTGTCACTGGGAGGAAATTGGGCCCCATCGCTGGTGTCACTGGGAGGAATTGGGCCCCATCGCTGGTGTCACTGGGAGGAACTGGGCCCCATTGTTGGTTTCACTGGGAGGAACTGTGCCCCCTCTCTGGGATGAATCATGTCCCTTCATTGGTGTCAGTAAATGAAATAATGCCCGAAGGGCCAGATAAAAGCAAGCAAAAAGCTGCAGTTTGGAGACCACTGCTATAGTGTAAGGCAACTTTCTCTACTGGTCCAATGTTCTTCTAGCTCTGGTTCACACACATGCGTGTTTTGAAATAAAGTGTTCTGCATGACAGGAGAAATAATATGGATTCCTATGGAAGTCGTTCATTTATATGCCGCACTGTATTTTTAAAAAGGGTCGTGTGTGAATTTGGACCTGTGTGATCTGATTTTAAGGTCCATAGGCTTTAATGAAAACCGCACGTAAAACATTTCTTTGTTCACATGTAATGCGATTCCAATGCGTTTCACACTCTGTATGAAAAAAACCTATGCACGAGGCAGCTGAAAAAAATGCAGTGTTGGTAAAATCGCATTGCTATTGAAACAGAACCGCATCTGATTCACAACGCAGCAGCTCTCTGAAACGCACTACAAAACTAAGCAATTTTACATTGCATGTGTGTGAACCTACACTAAGGGATCATTTGCACCAATGAGCTGTGCTGAATGCACGGTCGTTTGTGTACGCTGGAAGACACAGTGGGAGATTTACTAAAACAGAATCTGGTGCAGCTGTGCAGGGTAACCAATCAGCTTCTGACTTCAGCTTGGACAATAAAACCTGGAAGCTGATTGGTTTCTATGCAGAACTGCACTAGATTTTGCACTCTCTAGTTTTAGTAAATTACCCCCACAGTGTGGATGCACTTACCATGGTGCATTGCACAGTTTCTTTTTTTTTTTTTTTTACAGAACTTTATTGAAATGTCAAAAGTCACATTTTGATACAGTTCTGCACAGTGCAGAGGCGCTGTAATTTGCTGCTCTGAAAATGGAGTGGTGCATGCAGTACTTATATTCAGCGCACACCACAGCAACGCTGTGACATGAACTGACAGCATAGGAAAGAAGGCCTTTGCCCTGTCTATGCTTTGGGGCTGCCCTGAAATATTTATTATTTATTTCAGGTACTTGTATAGCGCCGTCAATTTATGCAGCGCTTTACATATATATTGTACATTCACATCAGTCCCTAACCCTCAAGGGGTGTACAATCTAAGGTCCCTAACTCACATTCATACATACACATACTAGGGACAATTTAGACAGGATCCAATTAACCTACCAGCATGTCTTTGGAGTGTGGGAGGAAACTGGAGTACCCGGAGGAAACCCACACAGGCACAGGGAGAACATGCAAACTCCAGGCAGGAGGTGCTGTGACTGGGATTCAAACCAACGACCCGAGTACTGCCAGGTGGAAGTGCTAACCATTTAGCCAGTGTGCTGCCCACCATTATAACCCCCATTCTGTGAACAAGCCCTAACCCTTCTAGTTGAATGTTTCTAAAGCCCAAATTTAGGAATTCTTAAAAAAAAAAAAAATCTCTACTCTTGCCCCCCCCCCCCCCCCTACCCTGCAGGGGTTAAATGCTCATGATTCCTGAGGGTAGGAGAACAGGCTTTATTTTTTTTTTTTTAAACTAGAAATGAGCTCAGGCATCCTCCAGCCTCTTCTCTAGTCAAACTCTGAACTTACTCCAACAAGCTGCGAGCTGGGTCATTCCCATCCCAGAGTGTCCCTCATTGTTTACTTGAGCTATAGCATGAGAATGACCCGGGCCGCGACTCACTAAAAAGAGAAAAGAGCGCAAGCTTGGCATCTGGCTAGAGATGGGTTCGGAGGATGACTGAGATCATTGCTATTAAAGTGGTTGTAAGGGCTGTAAATACTTACCTGAGCCTCATCCCGATTCAGCAATGGGCACAAGAACCTCAACCCTCCAGAGACTCTGCCTGCTCACTGGCGGAGAAAGCAGCAGGAGCCATTGGCTCCCACTGCTGTCAATCACAGCCAATGAGGGTAGAGAAGGGGTGGGGCCAAGTGACAGCTATGTGTGTAAATGGACATGCAGAGCAGCAGCTCAGCCTGCTTGGGTGCCTCAATAGCAAGCTGCTTGCTCTGGGGGCACTCGGCAGGAGGGAGGGGCCAGGAGTACCAGCAGGCGACCCAAGAAGAGGAGGATCCAGGCTGCTCTGTGCAAGACTACAGCACAGACCAGGTAAACTTGCCTTTAATATCACTTTAATTATTTTACACCATTGCTCTCCTCTCCTGCAGGCAGTTCCTTTGGCATCATCATGAACACTGCAGGGGTGTCAACCCTGTACTGTACATTCACGAAG